ATGATGATGATGATGATGATGATGATGATGATGATGATGATGATGATGATGGAGGGAAATCATATGTTAAAGCAGAAAATGCAGTGAGTCCAGAAAGACACTCAGAGAGCCGGAGAGGTGGCTCAGAGGTTGAGAGAATTGGTTACTCTTCTAGAAGACCCAGGTTCGATTCCCCGCACCCAAAAGGCGGCTCAGAACTGTTTATAACTCCTGTCTCAGAGAATGAGCCACCTTCTTCTAGTCCCCTTAGACCCTGCATGTATGTGTACACAGACATACATGAAGGCAAAACACGCATACAGATAAAATAATAATAAAACTAAAAATAAAATGAAAAGAAAGACAATAAGGAACTTCCAGAAAGGCCCAGAGTGTGGCTTACACTAACTCTAGTACTCAGACACTGAAGCAGAAGCCAATTGGCTCAAGGACAGCCTGGGCCGCAGTCAGAGATCCAGTCTCCCTGACTTTCAAGAAAGAAGCTGGCAAGCGGGCTCAGCAGGAAAAGCGCTTGCTGCCAAGTTTGATTTGTGGGACCTACAAGGTGGGAGTAGAGAACCGAGTCCAGAGAGTCCTCCGGTCTCCTGTGTACATGGTAGTGTGTATGTGCTCATACCCACAGAGTACAATAAATACACCAATATAATTTTAAAAGCACAAGTTATTTAGGAAACATAAATATTATCTAATAATATAAATACTATTCATTTGTCTTATTCATTTTGTATGGCTTCTGCAATACTGGGAATTGAATCCAGTACTGGTGCTAAGCAAGTCAGGGCTACATAGAGAAACCCTATCTAAAAAAAAAAAAAAAAAAAAAAAAAACAATTGGAAAAAAAAAAAAAAAAAGAATGCAGAACCTGGGGAGATGGCCAGTACATAAAATACTTGCCACGAAAGCGTGAGGACCTAACTTGCGATTCCCCTAGCACCCAGCATTGAAGCTAGATACACCAGTGTGCACCTATAACCTCAGCACCGGGGAAGGCAAACGCAGAAATCCCCAGAGCTCATTAGCCAGCCTTTGCAGCCCAATCAGAGAGCTCCAGACTCAGTGAGAAACCTGACTTCAAAAAGGGTGGAGGGCAACTTTTGGCCTTCACATACATGCGCATATGCAGACATATGTACATATCCACCACAGATGAACACACACGTGCACAACATGGAATGTGAATGTAATATTAAATATAGAAAAGATTCAACTCGCCAGGTGGTGATGCACACCTTTAATCCCAGCACTTGGGAGGCAGAGGCAGGCGGATCTCTGTGAGTTCAAAGCCAGCCTGGTCTACAAGAACTAATTCCAGGACAGTTGGGTTGTTACACAGAAAAACCCAACCCCCCCCCCACAAAAGAACATATTCAAATTGCATATTCTGTGAAGATGAGTGCTTTGTGGTTTGTGATACGATTGTTACTAATCTCATGAAGAAGTTGCAAACTTGAGATATTGAGCAACTGAAGTTTTCCTCTTATTTGATTTATATCAAAGCAGACTCGTGGCTAGTGGCTTCCACAGTGGTTGCTTTAGCAGGTGACATGTTGGGGGTGGGGGGGCTGAAGGAACAGGAGGCTTGCAGAATGGAAGTTATAGGGTATAGCTTGTGGGTAACAGAAAGAGGATACAGAATTATATCCTGCGAATTGAGCAGAGTTACTGGCCGAGGAACCCAGCCTAGGGACCGGACCACAGTGGGAGGAAGGAGAAGCTGGTGGGCATGGTAACAGAGAGATGACTCCTCTACGATCAAGGGAAGGAACTCCATAGAGAACAACCTCTGTCGAAGGAAGCATGTGAGCCTGTTACTCAAATGTGGAAGGAATACCAGGGAGAAGCGGCTGCAGAGGAGTATTTACCTTAACTAATACCAAGGAGAAACAGTTTGTCACTGGAGAAGGAGAGGGAAGGAGGAGGGTGGCTAGGCTTTTATAAACCCTCGGTACAGTCTGATTTTTACTTAAACACTTTTATTTATTCTTGTGCGTTTGTATACCCATGCATGGTGGGGGCATGTGTGTCAGAGGACAGCTTTGTGTAGTCCACCCTCTCCTTTCCACCTTTGGAAGGATTCCAGCAAGCAGATCGAGGTCACCAGGTTTGAGCAGCAAGTACTTTTACCCACTGAGCAATCTCACAAGCACCTATTTGAGATATATATATATATATGTGTGTGTGTGTGTGTGTATACATACATACATACACATATGTGTGTGTGTGTTTGTCTGCATGTATGCAGACAAACAATAACAGACACGCACATACACACTCACCACAGAAGAGGGCTAGGGAGCTAGGTCAGTCAGTAAGGTGCTTGCTGTGCAAACATGAGGACTCATTCAACCAATCTCAGTGCTAAGGAAGCAAAGGCAGACAGATCTATGGGACTCAATGGCTAGTCAGCCCCACCTACCTGGCAAGCTTCAGGCCAATGTGAGGCCCTGTCTCCTCCATCACCACCTCCTTGTCTCTCTCTCTCTCTCTCTCTCTCTCTCTCTCTCTCTCTCTCTGTCTCCCCCTCCACCCTATCCATCAGCGAGAAGGACCACCAGTGGCAGAGACTCCAGCAGCTGTCTGCCGTGGCCGCCGGACACTGTGTGGACTGCAACAAGGTCTTCAGGCGTCTGTCTCGTCGGTATCCCTGCAGGTACCAGGAAGGCACAGAGTCTAGGAAATCCACAGCCCCTTGTCTACCCGGGGAAGGAAGGACCAAGGGAAATGCCTAGTTTTGTTTGATTTGTTCAGCTTTTAAGATCTTTCTTTTTAACATTTATTTCAGTGTGGTGTGTGTGTGTGTGTGTGTGTGTGTGTGTGTGTGTGTATGTGCGTGCGCATGCGCGCACGCGCGTTTGCATGCACATGTGTGCCACAGCACATGTGTAGAAAACAGAGAACAACTTGCAGAAATTGGTCCTCTTCTACCATGTGTGTTCCAGGGATCGAACTCAGGTCATTTCAGACAGCAGCAAGTGCCACTGAGCCATCTCATCAGCCCTGGTTTCGCTGGCTATTTTGAGGCAGGTTCTCTTGATGTACCCCAGGCTGGCCTGTAACTCATTATGTGACCCAGAAGGAACTCAAACTTTTGATCCTCCTGACTCAGCCAGTCCTGCACGATGACTTTACAGATGTTCACCGCCATGCCAGGGCGTGAGAAATGGGTGCTTATAAAGAGCCGTGTCCATGTGTGTCACCCCATCTGGCTACTGCTGCTAAGTAGACCCCTGAAAGAAAACAGTGGGTAGGGCCACAAAGGAGGGAAGGTCCTAGAAGATGAGGCCAGTAGCCTCCCAGAATGCCCTACTGGGCTTCTGTCTAGGGAGAGGATCCCAGCACCTCTGTACAGAAAGACAGCATCTGCACAGATGCTCATTCCCCATCCCCCACCCCCATTCCCTGCTCCACTGACATCATGGGGAAGAGCAGGAGAAGGAAACAAACCATCAGGAGAAGCTGCCACCTGAGTTAGATGCTCTCGTGGGAAAAGGGAAGCATCCTGAGCTAATCAAAGGCTGTCCTGCTGGACCATGAGCATTGGCAGATGTCCCCCTAGAAGCCAGCTCAGGCTTCCCTGTCTCTGCTCCCCAGGCTTTGTGGAGGCCTGGTTTGCCATGCCTGCTCTGCAGACTACAAGAAAAGAGAACACTGCTGCCCAGCCTGTGCCCAGCGGGAAGAAATCCAGATCAGCTGACCAAAATCACAAGAGGAGCCTAAGACAGCTACCCCCTCCACCCACTCAGTTCACTCCCTCCCTGAAGTATGACCACGCTTTTCTTCTGCAAGCTGGTGAGCCGAGGCACCAGCACAGCTGTGAGGGGTGGGAGAGAACCACTGGCCGTCCACAGGCAGACTTAGCGCTGGCCGTCCACAGACAGACTTAGCTCTGCCTTCCTGTGGAAAGGGCTGAGTGGAACATGCCTCAGCTCTAGAAGTTTCCGTTTGATGCGAGGAAGACAGACTATGAACCCTTCGTAAAGTTCTTAGGGGAACAGTGAGTCCGTGACCATGAATAAGAACAGCCCAAGCCCAGCTGTTTCCTATCCATACTTCCCTCCCCCAGATCCCTCACAGGAAGTGAAGCCCAAATACACTGGGCTTTGCAATCTCCCCCTCCAATCTACTTCAGGGATCTTTGGTTTGTTTCATTTTTCATAGATTTATAGGGGTACTGTTGATGTACAATAAACATTGCATAAATTTGATGAGTTGAGTTTTCTTTAATATACATTTATGAGGCCATCTCTCTGCACAGACGTCGGCTACAAAGCTTCCTCACCCTCCCTCAACCCCTGCCTCCATGCTGAGGCAATCCCTGACCCCGTCTCGTGTCACCAGGAAGCATAGGCACTTTCTAGAAATTTGCAGAATTGAAATTGTACGGCTCACTTTTTATTGCTGCCTTTACTTGTCATAACTGGTTTGAGCTTTGTCTAGGTGGTGCATATCCCTGCAGTTCTTTCCGACAATGTGTGTGTGTGTGTGTGTGTGTGTGTGTGTGTGTGTGTGTGTGTGT